GCCGAGACCCACGGGCGCTGTCCGATGCGGCTGGCTGTGCACCGGGGGCGAAGCACCGGCTCGCCCCATGCCCCCACGAGGCGGGATGAGGTCGGCCCCTTTCAAACAATGCTGCAAAAATCAATCTGCTGACACCGCAGAAGCATCCCGCAGCATTTGGAGCTGTATTCCTGCACAGCTCTTATTGCAGAGCCGCGTCAGTTCTCTTAACGAACGGTTGCATAAATGTCACCGAGGGCTCATTTTCTTTGGCGTCAGCTATTGTCTGACAGATCTGATTAAGGCCACGTTCGGCTGTCAGCGGCCGTGATTCACATTTGGATCAGCTCCGCCGGGAATTTATTCTGGCCTTTCGGGATGTCTTGGTGCATATTACCGAGTTGCTTTTCCCTCCTGGGGGGCTGCTGGGCTCCTCCACGGTGGCACAGGAGGGACATGGGGAGCAGTGCCTGATGTGACAAACAGCGTCTCTGGGATCAAAGGCAGAAGCTCGTGGCTCCAGCGGGGAGGTGGTGTGTGCCGGGAATCGCTCGCTCCCATAATGGGAGCGGGGAGCCCGGGCGGGCAGGTCCTCGGAGGGGACGGGGAGCCCAGGTGGGACTGTTTCCAAAGGGTGGTCAGCAGGCTTGGGTTAGCTCGCTCGAGATCGCTGTGGTTTAGGAAAAAAAGGCATGAAGCTGGCTTGAAAAGTGTGTCCTTTTCGAAACAAAACGTGGCTTTAACTTTTTTTCTAACCCAGCCTCTCCCTTTTCCTGCGGCGTTCAGGGATCGCCTTCGCTTTACCTTCCTCTGTAATCATAAGCTCCAGAAACATCCCCATTAACAGCAGAAAAGCAAACGAGCAGAGAGAAATGGCTGCGGCGGCTGGGACTCGGGGAGCAAAGCCAAATCATGCGAGACCCAGCGGCAGCCTGTGCTCAAGTGCTAAAGCTCTCCCTGGTGCCACCGAGGGGAGGATTTGGAAAACCTTGCCCATCTTTGCAGGGTCTGTTGATCCTTTTTAAGGCTGAGTCCAAAGAAACCCTGGAGCGGCTCGTGAGCTGGGTTAGTGACAGCAGCCCTTGTTCTTGTTCAGGTTTGGCAGGCAGCGGCTGATGCCGAAGGAGCTAAGCTCTCAATGAAATGTAAGCAGCTTTTGTTAAGGGGAAAAGAAGTTTATTCTTGAATTGTGGGCTGGGTTGTTGGTTTTTTAAATTAATTTACAAAGTCGTAAATTCTCGGTGATTGCATAAGGGCTGTGCGTCATGTTGAAAATCCTGCTGATGGTGCACAGCTCTCCGCGTTTGGTCTGCACGGGGAGGTTGTCAGAGAGGGACGGGGAGAAGAGCGCCAAAGCAAACACTCTGCGTTTGATTTGGGATGAAATGGATTTCCTTCGAAATAGTTTGCGAAACATGTTGTCCTGAGCTTGCAATGCAAGTGCTGACTGCTGCCAGTTGTCAAGCCAACATGCAGATAGTCTGAAAATAGTCAGAAAACACCCAGAAAACAGGCCAAGGACTAGGGCTACGTGCGGTGCGTTGAGTTTCTCATTGATGGGCAGGTGCTCAGCGGACACCCCACCTCTCTGCTGCTGGGTTAAGGCTTTCTGGGCTGAAGGAAAGCACCTTGCAGGAGCTCTGGGCTGGAGGAAAGCACCTTGCAGGAGCTCTGGGCTGGCCGGCACATGAGAGAGACCCGGTGGGCCACCTTCCCAAGCGGAGCAGCCCATCCAGCTGGAGCTGATGTTCCTGGCTCCTGCCCACGTGCGGCTCCCTGGATATCTGTAGGGATAGCCTGACCCTCCTGCTATCACCCTGCTTACGGGGAGCTCCGGCAGACCCCCTGGGGCTCGGGTGTTTCCTCGCCTCCCAGGAAACCCAACTGCATGCACATGGCCAAGGCTGTGCCTTCGCTCCCCCCGTGGGTGTCATTCAGGGGACCTGTGCATGGTGACAAGCCTGAATTAGTCAGTGGCCGCGTTTTCAGCTGCCCCTGATGTTGTTCAGTCCTTCAAAACATGTCGTCGTTGCACAAGGTGTGGGTGCTGGATCATGGCACCCTAGTTATCTCAGCATGCAGGAGGCCTCAGGTTACCTCTGATGCATAATTTCTCACTGGCATCGCTAGTTATTCCTATCAAGTCTCAGACAGCGTAGACATATGGGGAAGGAAGTCGTGAAAAGCAACTTGGAGTCCAACTCAAAACACCTTAAATTGGTGTGATTTTCTCAAAGGTGGAACTGCCTGCTCTTTTTAAAAAAAAAAAAAAATCATCCTCTTGAAGGGCTCTTCAGGACAGCATCTGAATCACCGAGTTATTTTTTAAAACAAAAGTCTCGGGCCAAACCCAGCATCTCTGCTGATAGAAAATTCTCCTTCGTAACTCTCTGTTTTTCCTTCCTTTCCCCTTTCCCTGCAAAGGCCTCTCTGCAGACGGTGGAGCCAAGCGCCAGGAGCATCTCTCCAGGTTCTCGATGCCTGACCTGAGCAAAGACTCGGGCATGAACGTCTCGGAGAAGATGAGCAACATGGGGACCCTGAACTCCTCCATGCAGTTTCGAAGCGCCGAGTCCGTCCGCAGCCTGCTGTCGGTGCAGCAGTACCAGGACATGGAGCCGATGGAGCCGAACCTGCACGACCTCCCCAGCCCCCTCGGGTACCGAGAGCGGCCGTCGCACCAGATGCACCAGAGCTTCGACTACGGTAGCGGGGTGCCCGGGGGCAAGCTGGGGGCGCAGGAGGGCTCGAGGCGTGCTCCCATGAGCGAGCGCACGCGTCGGCGAACTAACCTCCGGGATGACGACCGGCATTACCGCCCGCACCGGCCCCGGCGGTCTCGACGTTCCCGGTCGGATAACGCCCTGCACCTGGCCAGCGAGCAGTGCTGCCGGCTGAAGGAGAGACCCTCGCTCCGGGCCAGGGAAGACTACGACCAGTTCATGCACCAGAGGAGCTGCAGGGAGACGGTGGAGCAGGGTCCCCGCAGGGACGTCTACGGCCACTGTCCCCGGACGGTGTCGGATCTCGCCTTGCAGAACCACTTGGGCGAGAGATGGGGGCCCTACTTCGCCGAATACGACTGGTGCTCGACCTGCTCCTCCTCTTCGGAGTCCGACAACGAGGGCTATTTCCTCGGGGAGCCGATCCCCCAACCCGCCCGCCTCCGGTACGTGACCAGCGAGGAGCTCCTGCACAAGTACGGCTCCTACAGCATGCCCAAGTCTTCCACGCTGGGTGGCAGGGGACAGTTGCACAGCCGGAAAAGACAGAAGAGCAAAAACTGTATTATATCCTAATGGCATCCTTGCCAGGCACCTTGGGAGAATGTAAATTAACTCACAAACTTGCACTGTTTTAGCTCATGTACGCGCTTTTATTGTAACAAAAAAGTCCCGAAAAGTAGGGATTTATAAGAAGGTTGTAGACTGGCTTCTCTAAATAGTCATAATCCTGGGCACGGTGAATATATTTTGCACATCTTACTTTGGAGGGGAAAAAAAAAAAAGTTCACTTTAGCCTGTAATATTTACCCAGTAGTTTTTCCTCTTTCTCCTGAATACTGCCATCCTTCTGAGGTCTGTTTGTCCGAACGTTTTGGTTACCACTGTTGGCTCTCAGCATCGGTTTGCCAGTAGCTTTTGCTTTCCACCACATTTTTGTTCTCTATTAGCCATGTTGGTAAGTAATTTGTCTCTCTTGGACAGTGTGGGAGCCTAAGTTATTTCCGTGATTGTTGTAAATGCAATGTAAATGAGAGTTTGGAGAAAATATTTTTGTATTTTGTAATATCAGAGGAATTTCTATATCTTAGGAGTCACTGGGAAAATGCATGCACATTCAGAATTGTTTTCAGCCAGAGCTAACCAAACAGTACTTTGGACCCCCTTTCCATTCCATCATCAGATTTCTTAAGTATAGCAGTGACAGTTTGAGTTGTCATTTGTTTTGAGGATTTGGTTGGGTTTTTAACCCTTTTTTTTCTGTTGGTTTGTTTCATTCCTGGTAAATAAAGAGAACATTTTCTGATTCATTAAATCTCGAAGAGGCCTCGGTGGCATTTTGAAGTCTGCTCCCACCTGTGATTTTCAGGTACGCTCCATCAGTCAGATACAGGAATCCCGACAGCTGCAAAAGGGACTTTTTTTTTTTTTTATTATTATTAAATAGGAAAGAACAGAACTACCAAATGTCTGCAACGTTGTAAATGACCAAAGCCGGAGAAGAAATTTTACACCTCTGTAGAGAACGCTGAAGTTACTAAACGTTGAACTATTATTTGGAGTAAATAAAAGTGTAAATGGTGCAATTGTGTGATGTCAGCATGACATTGTTTTGAATATAGACTTGTCTTATGGTGCTCTAGTCTCCTGGGTTATGTTAACTGCTGTTCATTACCAAGTGGAAGTCTCAATATTGCCTACTGCCTAACACGTAAGAGAACGACAGCAAACTGCTCCCCGCGGGCCTGATCCTGCCCTGGCGAGACGCCCTCGCCCCT